TATTTAATATATTCCAAGTACCTCTCATGTTATTTTTATTATCCTCTAATACTTTAGAGTAATGTTGTTTCTTAAATCTCCTCAAAATCTCAATTAATTTGTTCTTATATGACTTTTATTTTTCTTCCACCTTCTTTGATCTGTCCTTTATGAAATACTTGTATAACGCATTCTTCTTTTTACATGCATTCTGTAATCCCTTACTCATCCACGGTTTCCCACTGTAATTCCTCCTCTTTTAGCCTCCTTACAGCATGTTCATTCGTCACCCTCCTATAGATAAGATTTGTTTTTGGCCTCTCTTTTCTATACTGGCCCTCATAAACCACAAATACTGGTAGATGATCACTAATATCATTTATAAGTAATCCACTTGTCATTTTGCTGTCAATAACATTGGTAAATATATTATCTACAGTATTAGTGTTGCATGCTGGGTTGTTACTCTACTTGGTTTTGTAATTTTTGGGTATAAACTGCATCTATATATTGTGTTAATAAACTCCTCAGTTCCTGTGTGCTTGTTAGGATTTAACAAATCTATATTGAAGTCACCACATATGAACATTAATTTATGACTTATTGTCAAGTAATTTTCTTCCATCCAGTCATTAAATTTTTCTATGCTGGCTCCAGGTGCTCTATAAATACAGCTTATTACAACATTTTTCTTTTTTTCCACGAGTATTTCTACAGTCACACACTCCAGCAAATTATCCACCACCCTTGACATTTTCTCCACTCTCTTATAACAAAAGTTTTTATCTATGTACAAGGCCACACCACCTCCCATCTTATTCTCTCTGTTTGTGCATACCAAGTCATAGCCATCAAGGTCAAAATCCATTCCCCTTACATTATTCATCCAAGTTTCAGAAATAGCAATTATATTAAAGGAATGTGTCAGACTACTAAGATAATGTTTTATACTCTGAAAGTTTGCGTATAAACTTCTGCTATTAAAGTGAATTAATGATAATTTGTTTTCAGTCTTAACATTGCTGTTAAACTGCTCATCCGTGTAATACTTGCAGTTATTTTCAGAGTTCATAAAAAAGTTTTTTTCTGTGCAATGACAAACATCCTGCCCCCCCTCCCTTATGAATTACTTTTCATATGATAGCTGATAACGTCATGGTTTCCTCAGTTTACCTAAGCCTCTACATGCCAAGTGCAATAAACCTGTATAATTCTGTTTAGCAGTTGAAGCAAAACTGCTAATTATAATTTTACAAAATCACTTTCCCGCTTCTACTTTGTGGCTCTCTGTCCACACTAAGCTGATGTTCTTATTGCCCAATATCAAAGGTTTTCCAAAACGGCCTGTAGAGTGTTATCAGTACTCCACACCAGCTTGCTGAGAGATATCCACCTTAACAGATGTTTGCTATGATGTGCAGTCTTGTTGTTTACCATCTAAAAAAGAGGATGGAGAAGTAGATGTTAGTTAATCAGGTGTTTAAGTGTATCTTTATATAATAAAGTTTTGTGGATACAAGTCATTATCATATGAACGTTGGTATTAAAAATATGGCGACTCAGTGTGGTATTTGAACCTACAACATACTCACCACCACCACCACCACCTTCTTTTTCAGAACAATACGAATCTTTTGTGAAATTCACACAAGACCAGATCATGCGAAGATACGGAGCCCGGCCTGCAAGTTGTAAGTATTGTATACCACAGTTTTGTTTGGAAGGACAAAAATTCTCAGAGAAACTACACACTTATTGTTGAACCAGTCTTCAGAGTGGAAAAATGATGATCTCATAGTTTTGTCTCTGACTGCATCAATCATTTCCTGTCTCAGATGTCTCCTGAACACACGGATCAGATCCCAGCTGCTTCTCACAAGATGGCTGCTCTTCTGCTCTCCTCTTCTACTAGATTTTTCTTTTATTTCCCTGCTTTTTTTTCTCAAAACTGTCTGGGTGCCATGGTTTATCCACTTTTAGTGCAGAAGTGGATTTTATTCTTCAAACCTATTGCTGCTGGCCAAAAGTTAGAAGACTCCAAAAGATAAACTGTGTATGAAGCCCCTTGTTTTTTGTTTTTGCCCTTTTCTTGTTCAGATGCTCATTCTGGAAATTCCGACTAAAGCAGATGTTTGTCAAATCTTTTGCCAGTGCTGTAGAAAAAAAGCTTATTGGCTAACGTGATCATTCTGTAGAACCTTCCAGCAGCTGTATTTAGTAGCTCCTGCTTCTCCCACTTCTCTTGCCTCCACCACACCCACTCCCTTCTCACAACTCTACCTGAGAATGTGGAAGTTTCTCCCTTTTGAAAAAAAAACTAATAAAAGTTCTGTGATTAGTTTCTTGTCTGGGATGTTTATTTAAATCAATTCTTTCAACATTGGAGCTTTAAGGATTCGACTGGGTTACACCTTCCTGTTGACAGATGGCACTTGAAATGGTGTTGTGGGTGTTCAAATGACCATTTTTGAGCACTTAAGGACTAAACAGTTGAGAATTAATGCTTATTCTACACTTTAAAAACAGTAGTCACAAAGATTATTTCATCAATAGCTGAAACTGTCAACAAAATTACTGTTTATATATACATTAAATTGAATTATTTTTAAGCAGAAATGTCAGACATCTGCTTCTTCCAGCTTGTCAGATGTGAAAAGCTGGAAGCTGGTGTTGTAAAATGAATGGGTGTGGGACTTCGGTCAAAAAAAGATGGCTGAAGTCATCAAACTTGGCTTTGAAAGACTGCTAAGATTCTGACATTTTATAGACAGAATGACAAAAAATGAAATTGTAGGGTTGTAAGAATATTTGTAGCCATAATCTTAAAAGACTTTACATAGAGTAATAGTTCCTGATGGTAAGTAATAATACTTGTCTGAAAGGAGTTCTGCCTGAGGTTCATTGTTATGACATCTGTGAATTTATTTATTATGCACCATATACACTTAATTGAAGATTGTTTCCTAGAAATGAGAGTTGATCCATGATCCCCTGGTGATTAGATGTGGTATTGTTTGTTGGAAATGTATATCAATAAAAAATGTTTTTGTTTATAAATAATTGTGAGCTCTTTGCTGCCAACTGCAATCTAAACAGTGACTACATCCCTTTATTAACAGTGGGTTCTACTGCCATCTGGTGGTACAAATAGGGTATAACCACAACTTCAAAAGCGGACTTGGCATTCGGTTCACTTTCCTGAAATGGATATTAATTAATCAGTTTGAAAATATTAAACCTTGGATAAAAGGAGGTCGCGTGGATTGCCCCTTCCACGGGCTGTGTGTGCGCACAGGGGGTCGTGACTAAAGCTGGACAGCAGAATATGCTGTCTGTGACGTCACCGATCCCAGGTGTGGCACTGGGGAACAGGTAAGTCGGACACCCGTATACACAGTCTGTTTGAAAACGTGTGTGCTGTAATCCTATCTAGGCAGGAGACATCAGAGGTTTGTTTGGGCGGAGTAAGGGAGTTCCGTACAGGAAAAACCATTGAAAAGGCTATAATTATCTCCAAGCGCTGTTGTTCGCAGGACCTCATGGGGACGGTCGGTTTGAAGAAGGGGCTCCGCGGGTATGAAAACATGGAGTAATGTATTGAAAACGGACGTAGATTATTATAAACCTAAAGTCTGTTGACTTGTGCTCTTCTTCAACTCTGGGTTGTTTGAATTAATTTAGTCGAATAAGGAGCATATTTATGCGTTTGGGACCGCCTGGAGCCACCTGCACTCTGTTAAAGGCCTGTGCCAAATGAACATTGACTTCACTGGAAGCTAAAACAAGTCAACTTTACTGTGGTGAGTAGTCTCAGTTGGGTTTTATTGTAAGTTTTGCACACCTAAGCCTCCTGAGGTCACCAACCAGGAGTATCAGCAACGCCCGGTAAACCGGAAGTGCCAAGTAGCAGACGACTGCAACTAAGTGTAACTTGCAGAAAAAAATTATGGTGGGAGGTAGATAAGTAGCAGAACTTGTACGTAAATTGAGAAATTAAATTTTATGATACTCATTACCTTTTACTGTATGTTAAATATTGTATTTTTACACATTTACAGTAATTGACAATTTTAGTTATTTGGCATATTCCTGTTATTACACAAAATATGTCAACTAATAAATTAGGGTATCAAGTACATTTTGATGCTAGAATTTAACATACCCATACTTTAGTAAAATATTCTCCACCGGCTTCTGTCCAGTCAAGGAAAAAATTTTAATGTTAATATGTTTGCCTCAGTGGTGGAAAGGATATTCAGATGCATTACATAAGTAAAAGTAGCAATAACGGTTCGAAAATTACAAGTGAAATGCATACCAAAAGTATCAAAAGCAGACGTACTCATGACGTGGAATGGTCTCCTAAATGTTTTGATGGTCTCATTTATGTAAATGAATATATCTTGAGTAAAACCTTTCTCTGTGAAGTATGGCCATCAGATAAACATATTGGAGTAAGTAACAGGCAGTACAAGCACAGAGTAGCTGAAAATTGAAATAAATAAGTACAATACCCATACCGAGAACAGAAATAGTCAAGGGATTACCATGTAGTATTACACCTGGTTTCGAGGTGCCCTGAATCATGATGGAGTCGTGATGAATCAGAAATGAAGTGGATAAATCCTCTACCACAGTACATGTAAAATGTATATCACAATATGCAATAATGTAAATTTTCTAGAAACTCGGCTGAGGACCTATTAATGGATAAACTAAGCACACAGGAAGGTTTGGTTTTAGTTAGTTCAAGGAATTTCAGTGCTTCATCATACTGTTGCAAAAATCACATAAAAATCCAAAATATTTCCGTAACTTTCAACATCACCCACAACGGCCATATACACCTGGGGATTTCCAGTGAGTGCTACATCAGTATAAGTGGCCTAACAAAGTCTCTGACGGGGGACCAGTGTGTCATCCCAGGGAAAATATTGTATCTTCATAGTTCCCTCTGCATAGTCATGACATACAATCTTGTCTGAAGGATGCCAGCAGTGATGGACGACATAGATGTGGAGCAGGAGGAGCCTTTACCTGTGGACAGAAATGGGAGAAGGTTTCAGAGTGAAGAAGACCAGCCTGATGATGACGGCAGGAAGCCGGGATGTTGTGAGAGATTCCATCAAACGGTCTCTAAATGGATGCTTCCTGAAGATTTGCACAGCACGTACATGGAACGTGCCAACTGCTGCCCACCCCCAATCTTCATCATCCTCATCAGTATTGGAGAGGTATGTATGAGATGTAATGGGATAATATGGATTCTGTCATCTAATTATACAATATGCAGCTTATATTTTGATGATGTGCTGCCACAGTACCAATTGCTGTATAGGTTTGCTGTGATTGTATTTAGCAGAGCAGACATTGAGGTGAAGTTATGGAAGCCTGGGTCGGAATGCCTTTTAAACTTGGCAGTTCAGAAGATGATCACTCTTAATTGACTGTTTATAGCTACAGTTTGTGAAAGTCTATGGTTTTCAAAGTCTTTGTGCTGACAAACCTCTGTACAACCCTGAGTGCTCATTTCTCTTTTGGCATTTATACCACTTCCTCAGATTCGTTACGCTCAGTCTTCACTAGCAGTCAATAGGCATGGTGTCAGTGAAAACGTCGTAGCTTTAGGTCAGACAAGACACACCATGTCTTTTAGACTTTTCGATTTAGTTCTGCAGAATGTGGGGAATCCGTGTGTGATTTGTTCAAAATGCAAAATGGGGGATGCTGTGGCGTCATTCCTCCATAACCATGTCTTAAAAGGGAGGCATAGTGAATTATTTACGCAGCATGGATGACCCCACATGTGGCGTTTATTGTGATTTTAAGCTAAGCTCACCATATGTGCATTTACATGCTTATAAATGTTAGATAGGGAGACTTAAAATAAAGTATTACCCATAATTTGTGTTTTTAGGTTTTCTAACCATTTGCACGCTGAATATTTATACTTGGGAATGGACACCTCCGTGTATGTAGCTCACAGATGCCCAGTGCTGCTTCATTTCAATGTGTTGTTTCTCAGTGTTCCCCTACTTTGATACAGATGGAAGCATTTAAACCTCTGAGCTGCTCTATACACTGGGGGACATTGGGGGGGTCAACTCAGTGGGGTCTCTGTCTTGGTAAAGAATACATGAACATGTGTATGTCTTATTCTCTCCTTCCATTGTCGTTTCCTCGAAACGAAAATGAAACTCCTTTGATGTTTTGGATGTCTGACATGTATCTGTTATTCTCTGTTGTCACTCAGCTGGCAGTATTTATCTACTACGCTGTGTGGAAGCCTCAGAAGCAGTGGGTGACCCTGGAAGAAGGCATTTGGAACAGCCCTCTAGCCTACAAGCCTGAGCGCAGGCAGGAAGCATGGCGCTTTATCTCCTACATGTTTGTCCATGCTGGGTAAGTGTGGGCAGGGCTGCTAGCCTCTTTGATTACATGATGGAAGCTTGAGTCAGGGCAAAAAGTGGACGACTTCCCACAAACACAACAGAAGCTACTGTTTGTGGGTTTTGTTTTTGATGATGTCAGAGTTGTTGATTCATTTCTGTGGTTATCTTTGAGAAAGCAGATTGTGACTGCTGCAACCCTTTGTTAGGATTTCACATTTTTACATGTCCCTCTGCTTTACAGCATTACTTCATTTTTCAGTGGTTGAAGAAGTACAGGTTCTTTACTTAAAAAAAAAAAAAAAACAGCAATAACACAGTGCAAGAATACTTTGTTACAAGTAAAGGTCCTGCAAAAAAAAAAAGTTTTTAAGTAAACATACAAAGGTATTTTCATCAAAATATACTTAAAATACCACAGGTAAAAGTGACACATTTGTGAGTGATGTGAGTAAAAAGTATATAATATTTGTTTCTGAAATGTAGTGAAGTCAAAATACAAAGTAGCAAAAAACAAAAATACTCAAGTTAATTTCCACCACTGTTGTTTTTTTTTTTTAAACCAGTGTACCAGTAACTTTCAAATTGCAGTTATCTAAAAAGGTGAGTCTTATGTAGATGAGTATTATTATCTTTAAAATAAATCTGCAACATCACAGTTTTTCATTTTCAAAGCATTTTCATACAGCTATATACAAGCCAGAGAGTCTGAATTTTCTGGCACATCTGTCAAAGCACTGCAAAATCACGAGTACATAAGCCACAGGAGCACAGGAAAACCAAAAATGGGCTACACAGGAAACTGCCTTAGCAAAGAGGAACGGTGATCAGTTACTCCAAATACTCACTGAAAGACATTTAACAGAATATTTGTTTAAAGAGGCTGGTGGTATTCTGTAGTTTTCTTATTGTCAACAAAATCCATGAAGAGACCAACAAAGAATTAACTGTTTCGTCTGTGTGGGCAAAGACTAATAGAGCTAATTCCTTTGTGCTGTGGACCCTCATTGTTGCCACATAGCTGCAGTGGTTGACATGTTTCTAAAATTACCTCGAGCACTGTAGTTTATTTTACATACAGTACATCTTCCTGCCTTAAGTAAGTCACTAGAACACCAAATGGATTTATATTCAGCTAAAAATGGTCCCTAACAACTACACTATTTACTCCTGTTTGAGTATCATAAAAAACTGTAATGTCCAAGTGTTAAAATAATTCTCCTGGAACCTTCTTTAAACATTTACATCTTCAGGTGAACAAGGGGGTATGGGACTAAGTGTCAGAGATGGGAGGGAGGGTGTTAAAGCATTGTTGATTGCGGAGTAAAAAAAACATCAGTCGTAACTTTTAAATCAGTCAACACCTGCTATTTACTGCAGCACCATCCTGTACATTTGTGTGATGTTTACCCTTCGTGGTCAGGTATATTCTGCTCATTCCTTATCTCTCCTTCCCCAGTGTGGCGCACATTGTCAGTAACCTCTTGATGCAGTTGCTGCTGGGTATTCCACTGGAACTGGTCCATAAGGGGTTTGAGGTGGGGATGGTTTACCTCTCTGGTGTACTGGCAGGTAAAGAAAAAAAAACTTCTTTCTGTTTGCGTATCAGTGTTTCCTCCTCAAATACAGCAAATAAAGTTTTGCTAACATAGCTATGCCCTCATCTATTTCCATTTGTGTTAAGTGCCGGCTGTTAGAAATCCCGCTGATGGTAAAGCTGATAATTTCTGTGGCTGTTTCCCCTCAGGCTCTTTAGCCAGCTCCATCTTTGATCCTCTGAGTGCCTTGGTTGGGGCTTCTGGGGGTGTTTATGCAATAATGGGAGGCTTTTTTATGAATGCAGTGGTGGTAAGTTTACATACACTTTAACAAGAGAACTGGTTGCATTTCTGTGTTCACTTTGTGTGACACAGGTTTTTGGTACAGACGGTAGTTTGGAGATCCTATGTTACAAAATAAGACTATGATTACAAGTATGATTATGTTTCTGACTGCAGTGTAACAGGGAACACATAGTTTTGCAGCTCCACAGTTTAACATTGTAGATATATTGTAGTATTTTTAAATAAATATTTGACATAAAGACATTTTGACTTTTTTGTGTGTATTATGAACCTAAACCTCTAGAAGGAAAGAACTGGACTCATTTTGTCTGATGAACATATACAGAAGTATTTCTAAAGAGCTCCAATGATTAGTAGATTCGCAGAATATTAATTGAAACTTTGATAAATGAATAATCATTTGTCATTTTTAAGTAAAAATGCCAAAACTTTGCTGTTCCAGCTTCTTGAATATAAGAAATTGACACTTCATCATATTTAATAAATTAAATATCCTTGGGTTTTGGCCAGAAGGTGGGACACAAAATGCGAGATTGTAACAGCAATTTCTACTTTTTTTGACATTTTATAGACAAAACGATTAATTACAAACTTAGTCAGTAGATTCATTGACAATGAAAGTGACCCATTAGTTGCAGCCACAGTTAGGAGATAGCATAGTGTGCACGTGGTCCCAGTTTACTCTCATTATTAGATTATTATATTTTTAATGGTTATTAATAATGGTTCATCATGTCAGTATAAAGGAATATTTGTGTTACTGAACTACTGAGAATCCATTATATTGCTTAGTCTGTCCTAACCAGCAGGTCTTCACTGTGCTATCGGCTATGTTTTTGTTTCATGCATCTTGTCAGTTATTGCTCATTGCAGCTGGTGTCTGTTTCAATTCGCAGAACTTCCGTGAGATGATTCCTCTTCTCGGAGTGTTTCGTATCGCTGCTGCAGTGATGATTAGTAGGTTCTCCTAGTTGTTTTGACCTAAAGGTTATATTTGTAACTGATGTACTGTAATCGTACTCCAAAATGTTTGATGTAACACTTTTCTTTTTCCAGTCGTTGCAGATTTTGGATTTGCCTTCTACAGAAGATTTATCAGTAATGAGGATGGTTTGAAGGTACAGAGAAAAACAAAGGGCCTTGCTGAACCTTTTCAGACACAAAAAGAGCCTTGAGAACAATCCACCCAATCCAGCTAACCTCTCCCAAGCAAACATTGTTTGGTTTGGTGACAGTTTAGTTCCCTTGTGGCTGCAGATGAGATCAGCAACTCTTGCTGGGATTTGATAAATCATGCAGATCCATACTTCTCTGTATGGCCATAAATAATAGAGAAATACATTATATCCACACATCTTTGACACATCCTGCTTCTCTTTTAAGTTATTAAGCCACTTCTAGAAATTTTTAACCTTGTCCTTTGGCTCCATAGTTTCAGTTTTGAAGAATAAAACAACTGAAAGCATATAGTATCTTCCTCCACAATGCGTGCTTGTCTTTCTAACTGATCACTAGACTACAGACCTTAAACAACAGATTCCTTACTCCCTCCATGACCTAGTTATATATCCATCCCCTTTTCTCATACTGCTAACTCATGTTGGCTGTTCAGATAGTCTTGCAGGTTTTCTAGGTGTAGACCACATTGCAGGGAGACTGGTGACAGTAGCTGAGGGTCTGTGTTCGGTGTAACTTTGACAATTTTGTCCCACACACTAAATCTAAAACCTAACTTCAATCTTTCTCCTCTCAGGTGTCTTTTGTGGCTCACTTTGGTGGAATTGTGGCTGGGATGACCATCGGCTATGTCTTCTTCAGCGCTTACAACACAAAGCTGCTCAAAGACCCACGTTTCTGGCTGTGTATAGCGGGCTATATAGCATTTCTGATCTTTGCTGTGGTCTTTAACATCTTGCTCTCACCAGCACCATAGGAGCACAGACATGAATTTGCCTACTTTATATTAAATGCTAAATTCTTCATGTCACACTCAGGAAGCTTGCATGTTTCAGAGCAAAGTTGCTTTTTGAGGACTTTGTGACTGTAGCACACAGGGTTTTTGTTTTCAATTTTATATCAAATGTTCCTGTTTTTAGAGCTGAATTTGAGTGTTCGAGTGCAAGTGTGCCCCCTTCTGTTTATGTGCAGCATTGCAGAAGGCATGCTTTTGATCTTAGACTATAAGGTTGCTTTTAAAAGTGAAAGTTTTTGAACTAACATTTCTTTTATTTCAGATATGGCCTTTGCTGTTTCTTTGTTTGTATGAATTTTGATATTTTTGCACTTTTTGTAATGTGATTACTAGGGCATTATTGAACATACTTATTTCCTTTTTCTTGGATAGGAAATAATTCCTAGGCTGATTAATAGAATAACTTTGTTTCTCTGTGATGTTTCATATCTTCTGTTAACTCAACATGGACTCCTACAGACTCCCAGTATTCCTTAACATGTGCCTTAAACACCATGAAATCCCTCACCATATTAAACACAATGTAATGATGATATCACATTAGATCACATTTGTGCCAACACTAACAAGAAGAAAATATTTACAAAGTAGTCTCATGAAAAAAAGAGATGGATGTTACCCCTTCTTTAAGCACAAGAGCTGGTCACAGTCAAGCCTTGGCCTATTGCCATGTTATTGTTTCAGTCGCATCTTGTTGACAGGACATGGCTAATTGCATGTTGAATTGTAAAGTTTTTGATTAATTGGGCAGTTTTTTTTAACCCTGGAATCCACTGACTTGATTGTAAAATTAAACAGTCATGGAAATCATGCAATACTCAACAGGGAAAATATTAAACATTAAGTGTAAGTTATAGTTAACAAAGTGTACTGTCACTAAAGTCTATAAAAGAAAACTCTGGCATACTGTGTGTGACAGGGAGCATCAGGTACCAACTGAAATTCAGAAACAGATCTTATATAAAATGTAACTACTTTATTCAAGGTTACAGAGAAACTATGAGCAAAGACCGGAGACCTACACATTGTTTTGCCTTTCTACAGCTCAATGTTTAAAGTATGTTTAACTAGAAAACTGCATTTTCTGAAGAAAATGAGTATGGATGCTGAGTGCTGAAAAATCGCCCTGTAAATGCTGAACATTTTGACACATGAATGCTTTTGCTAGCTGAAAGTATGCTGAAGTTGGAATTTTCCCATTCATTTGAATGGGGCAAGATTTTCAAAATAAAGCTAAATATTTTAAAAGTATGAAGTTTAGTCAAATTCTGAAGAGAAGCATGAATGTCCTTGAGGAGCTGCACATTTTGATAGCTGAAATTATGCTGAAGTAGAATTTTCCCACTCATTTGAATGCGGCAAGATTTTCAAAATAAAGCTAAATATTTCAAGAGTTGCATATACTAGCATAATTTGTGTAACTACAAAGACCCGGTGTTTCCTTTTTTTCAGTGTGTATGTGTGCCTGTATTATGCACACAAGTTAATTAGCTTAAGAAGTGGAGGGCTCATAAGTAATGCTTAAAAAGGTGAAAGGTAAATAGATGCCATAGCAATAGTGAACTACATTAAATGGCGTGCCAAGAACAGCTGTTGTTTCATACAGCTGTGCAAAGACCTGGGATTAGGGCAAGATTTTCAAAATAAAGCTACATATTTCAAAAGTATGAAGTTTTGAAAAATTCTGAAGAGAAGCATGAATGTCCTTG